GAAAGTAAACAGATATACACACATACATATACATATACATTCATACACACACACACACACACACACGTACACACACACATATATGACAGACTTCTCTGATGTTCTCCCTTTGCCCTCCTTTCACACACTCACAAGAGTGCAGCAGGTTGTCTTTTTGGTGTCGCCTCTTTCTTTTGCAGAACCACAATTTCCTGTGCAACGCGGCTTCTGAGCTGACTATCATCTTTCTCTATCTGGGCCTTGTCTGTGGCTGGCAACGAACCTCTCCCCGTGCCTTATATCGCCTGCAATATTGGAAGGAGGTATGAAAGGAGGGGAGGGAGGACAGAAAGACAAAGAGATGGAAAAGAGGTTTGCTTCCTAAAAAAAATGATGCAAAAGTCAAACAGCGGCTGTTGGCACAAAGGAGGCTGTGAGCACAAACAAATCTTGGTTTATTTAATTACCGAGAGGGCACAATACGAATCTTCCATCCAGGAAAGTGAAAAGGAGGAAGCAGAGGGTGAGCAGACATAACCCAGTTCCTTCAAGCACCTTGGTATTTGGACTCATGCTTGTAAAACGATCAGTGCCCAGCAATCAATCAAACAATAATAAAAGAGTTGTAGGAGAGAGGCTGGCTGAGCGAAGGGGAGGAATCAAGCAGGGCATCAGTCTGGGATCCTTAAGAAGGCACAAGAGGGCAAGGTCCGAACCCGCTTGAATGCGATTGAACCTTGTCTAGTTTGGGCCAGGTACAAACTGCCAGTCTGGGAAGATTCCTGTGAAATATGCATGAGCAATAAAGTAGCTAATTGAAGTTCGCATGTGTAGATCTGGTTGTTCAACTTAACAGTAGAGAAAGATGATAGTCAGCTCAGAAGCCGCGTTGCACAGGAAATTGTGGTCAACCATTAACTGTCTGCAAAGGAAAGAGGCGACACCAAAAAGACAACCTGCTGCACTCTTGTGAGTGTGTGAAAGGAGGGCAAAGGGAGAACATCAGAGAAGTCTGTCATATATGTGTGTGTGTACGTGTGTGTGTGTGAATGTATATGTATATGTATGCGTGTGTATATCTGTTTACTTTCTCATCTATCTGTCTGTTTGTCTGTCTATCTGTGTCTGTCTATCCGCTAAATGACATTGAAAGGCCCTTGATTTACATGGACAGTTTTTCATAAAATATAAGCAGTCCTGTCCCAACTATATTATATGATTTTGTTGCTTAAATGGGTCAATTCCCAATTCTGCATTCTTTCCACCCTTAGGATAGCATCCTAACAGCTCTGAATGTAATACCGTTGTTAGTTTCTTCTGCTTCTTGGAAATGAACAGTCAAAGACTTTTACATAACAAACCATCTTCTTGTTACAAAGGAGAATTCTATCCTTGGCTGGGTTAATTCTTGGTTTAGTTAGAAGAATCAAGTACTTCAGTCAGCAGGTTAATAAGATCAGTAATTCGCTGCATTAAACCTATGAATAAATTCTTTTCTGCAAGTAGAAAACTAGCAGCCCAGCAAGATGGAGGCTGGGCTGAAGTCCCTGATGGGCTATGTTTCTACTGGGAAGGGAATTCAAAACCTTGAAAATGCTCTTTCCTAAGATGACCTGAGGATTTTATTACTTTCCTGTGGCCGGAATAAAAATAACTGGCATATTATTTCCAGCCGCAGGCTTCCTTTGCATCTGTGGAAATGAACTCTTGATGCCATAAACGAAGGGAAGGCTTGCAAGGACACAAAAAGGCATCTTTTTATAGTGTTTCCCTCCTGCCCCCCCCCTCTTCCTCCATTTCTGGTTGCGTACAGCATCCTCCCCTTCCGATCCCTTCTCTTTCTTCTTCCTTGCCAGCCATTGATGTCTTCCTAGGAGGCATCTAATGGGGCTTCAGAACAACCGCTCTTCTCATTGGCGGGGTGCACCAGCTGCTCTCCAACACTTTGTGACTCACTGTCATTGCCCACGATGGAACAAATCAGGATTTAAGATTTTGTTGTTTGGGAATAAAAGATGCAAACACTGGCTGGCTTTATGGACAAAGGAACAGATGAAGGGGGAAAGGTTCCCCCAACCAACCCCAAAGTGGAAACTCCAGAAGGCTCTTATTTTTCCCAATGACATGCTGGAGTTGCAACAAGGGCTGAGGCTCAGGCAAAGAGCAAGGCCCAAAAATCTTGGGGTGTCCAAATCAGTCCACATAGCAGCAGGTGAGGGGGGGGCAGCAGCAGCAACAGGGCAAATAAACCTGGTTTAACATCTAAGCCAACCGACAGACATCCCACTTCATCCCAAGACTATTAATGACTTACTGGAGAATTGCATCCTATTCCTAGTCTTATTCCCATTCCAGCCCAAAGACATGTACTATTCTATTCTGTTTGGTTTGTTTTATGTTATTTGAGATTTATGCTATGCTACTCTATTTTAGCTAGAGAGAGGGGGCCATAAAATATGGTCAAAAATTCAATTTGTTGACCATGAGTGAGTGATTGATCCATTCATTTTTTTGCTTTCCATAGTGAAGCAGCAGGAATTGTGTTGGGAGCGGGGGTTTTGGCTCTCTCGCGGGCCCCACCATTCTAGGCTAAACAAATGGCAGGTGGGCTACTGCAGTGGTTCTTAACCTTTTTGAACGAATCGCCCCCTTGAGCCAATGAGGAAGTTGTCATCACCCCCCTCCCCCAACATAACCTCTCAATTACAACATAGAAAATAATTCTTCAATTTATGCAAACATTTTTTTTTGTTTTCTTTAAAATTGTCATATCGATGCAAATACTTTATTTCCAGTCTTTTCCCCGTATCTCCCATATTCTGGCCAATAGCGCGCCACTGTATGGGTAGAGGCTGCTGCGCAACGCGCATGAAGATAAGCGATGCATCTTCACATATGTACGGCGTTCTGTACCGAAGCTAGCCGGAGGAACATTTGAAAACACAACTCAATCCACTAATAGCGAGCGATCTGATGTTTTTGTACAAGAGATATACAGCGATTCGCTGTACGAAAAAGTCTCAAAAGTGTCCCCAAAACTTTATTTATTTATTTATTTATGAGACTTATATACCGCTTTAAGTGGAAGCACTCCCTAAGCGGTGTACACCAGTAAGCAATGTATATATATATTTACATTGCCCCCAACAATCTGGGTCCTCATTTTACCTACCCCGGAAGGATGGAAGGCTGAGTCAACCTTGAGCCGGTGAGATTTGAACCGCTGACCTGCTGAACACAGTCAGCTAAAGTGGCCTGCAGTACTGCACTCTAACTGCTGCGCCACTTCGGCTCCACTTCTCACTCCATCGCCCCCACATTGCCCCCTTTTCATTCCTTTGCCCCCACATCACCCCTTTTCGTTACATCGCCCCCCTGAAAAATGAAATCACCCCGGGGGGGGGGCAATATCGCCCAGGTTAAGGACCACTGGGCTACCGAATCCCAGGCTTAGGGATGGTCCGTGGCTGGCAGGAGGGCAGCCCTGACCCTCCCCATCTTTTGCTGCCTGCACAGGTGCACCAAATTGCAGCACCCTGACTGACCACAAGGGGCAGCCATTCACCGAGCCAGGATTTCTGGGGTTCTGCCCAAGTCCCGGGAGCTGAGGACCAGCTCCGTCTGGAGGGCGGCCGACGCTGCTGGAAGAGGCAAAGCAGCTGCCCCAAAGAGGGGCGGGGGGGGGCGGGTGTCCCCTCAAAAGACAGGGCGATGTAACTTCTAATGCACTTGGCTTACAGGAGAGTAGCTGTCATTTGAGAGCTAAAAGAAGCACGACAAAGCTCGTTGTTCGAGCACACGCAAGACTACTCTAAACCAGGATGGAGTGGATTGTGGATCAAGGTGTGGGTGGTTGGGAGAAGCCCAGCCCTGCTAGAGCTTAAGGAAGGAAGGAAGGAAGGAAGGAAGGAGAGAGAGACAGAGAGAGAGAGAAAGAAGAATATGAAGAATAAAGGCGAGGGGAGGAAGAGAGAAGAAGAAAGGAAGGATTGGGAGAGGAATAAGGGAAAGAGGGAAGGAAGGAAGGAATAGAGCATGACGAAGGAAGGAAAAAAGGACTACGGGAAAAGGATGCCACTCAGCCAAACTCCCCCCCCCCTTTCGGAGCTTGGCGCGCACCTCGCAACGCGCACGCGGCCCGCCGCCCAGCAGCGGGTTAAGGCGGAGGCCCCGCCCGGAGCGTTACATGCCGTGACATCACAGCCCGGAGGGGCGGGGCCGGAGGGGCGGGGCCAGAGCTCCGAAGCGGGCACCGGGAGGGGGGCTCGGCCGCTGCTGCTGCTGCTGCTGCTGCTGTTGCTGCGGGTGGTGCGCGTGCCCGGCTGGCGGCGGCGCGAGGCGGCCAGAAGCGCGGGCACGACGGGCCGCGGGGCGCGCTCCCTCTTCGCTCCTCTCCGCCCGGCCAGACTCGACTCTCGCTCGGAGGCAGCCGGGGCTGATGTTGCAGCGCGGAGCCGCTGCCGCCGCCTCCGCCTCCTCCTCCTGCTCCTCCTCCTCCGGCCGCCCGCCGCAAGCCCGGACCGAGCCATGGACGGGGGGCTCCCTCCGCGCCCCGCCGAGGCCCTCTGAGTAGCCGCCGCGCAGCAGCGCTTAAGCCGGGCTCCCCGGCCCCGGGCGGACCGGGGCGAAGGCGGTCCCGGGAGCGCCCCTCCGGACTCCGGCTCCGCGCCACCTCTCCGCCTCCCGGCTGTCTGGCGCGCGGCTCTGCCCGCGGGCGATGCTTCGGCGCCGGGATCCGCTCTGAGACACTCCCCCAAGCGCTGGGCTCTGTCCGAGGGAAGGCGCGCCGGGCTGGGCTGGGCTGCCGCCGACGAGCCGATCGGAGCAGCCAGTGGGCAACCGGAGGCCGGCCGAGAAGCGCCCCGCCGTCCCCCGCCGGGCGAAGGGTCGCTGCGCGCGGAGGGGGCGTCTGCGGGCGACCCCCGGGGGCTGCTCGGCTCTCCTGCCCCGCGGCCAAGAAGAAGAAGGAGGAGAAGAAGAAGCGGGGCGTCCCTGGCGCGGATCCCGTGGATGCCCCATCCCCGGCGGAGCCTTCCCGGTCGGCGCCTCGCCCCGAATTAACTTCCCACGCCGCCTTGCCTGCTCAGCCGCCCCCCCAGGGAACCTCTCCGATGGCCGGGCAAGCGCAGCAGCTGGGCTGGCTCCGGGGCTGGTGGACTACCGGCGTGTGCTTGGCGGCCCTGGCCTTCCCAGGTGAGCCTCCCCCTCCCCTTTTTTCCTCTGGGGGGGGGTGTGGTGGTGATACAAGGGGGGGGGTCGGAGGGAGGGTCGAGTCGGGGGCGGGGAGGAAGGGGAGAGAAAGCCCAGGGGAGAGTTGGAAGAAAAGAGGTGGGGGGGGGACGTCCCTGCCGCTGATAAGACTGGCTGGGCTTAAAATTGTACCTTTGGGGTGGGTGGGGGCTGCGGACACCCCCCACCCGTGCCAGTTGGGAGGGTGGCATGAGGCTGCCCCCCCCCCCGGGATTAATGCTTTTCTGCCAGGGGAAAGGGGAGGGTGTACTCTCAGCTGGGGAGGAATGTGGGGGGGGAGAGATTGGTCCATCCTAGGTACACCCCCCTGGATTGAAAAACAGGGGGGCGTCAAGAGAACATTTCAGGGGGTGGCTGAGTGGCAGCCTGGCTCATCCTGGTTGAAAAAGGATGTATTTATTTTTTGCCTCTGGATAGATCAAGGGGTCTCTAACGGAGCTGAGGTGGATCGCAACCCCCCTCTTTCTAAGAGTGGATTTTGGGGGGGGGGAGAACGGGAGGGGGAAGGGTGCATCTAGCCTTTGAGACAAGGCTGTGGGATCTTGGATAGATTTCCCTCCCTACACTTAATGGTGGAGACGACCGACCCAGCTTTCCAACTCTTTCTAAGCAAAACCTTCCCTGTGTTCCTTACGATAATTTGGAGGGGTGGGTAGCATTGTTGGTGGGCGCTAACAGGACCCCAGGGAGCCATGGATGAGGGAAAGCAGCCATGGAGGAACCTGGCCAATGTATTGTGTGGGCGACTGTTTCCAGGAAATGGATGAGAAGTGGGCATTTGATGGACGGAACGGTTGTAGGACCTGTGTGTTGGGTATGTGGGGAGGATGCGTCCATGCTGTGGGGCACCGGGGAGAATCGCTCCCCCCCCAAATGTCATGCTAACCTGTCGTGGAGGGAAACTGAGGCAGTGGGTCTTCGGGGCAGGAGGAATTTTCTGGAGGGACTGTGCAGTCAGCAAAACCTATGTTTGGGTAGCTGAGAATTGCAAGGTTGCAAGGAGCCGGCTCTGCCAAGCTTTGGCTGCCTAGACAGACCCAACCATGTCCATTTCTCTTGGCCAGAGTAGGAGGTGGCTCTTGACCTGGCCAGGTTGATGTCGTTGCCTTTTGGGTCTTGCCTTTTTGCCTGCTTTTTGGGGGGGACAGCCCTAGATGCCGGAGGGGCATCTTGCAAAAAACCAAAATTAAAAAAAATGAGGCTCAGCTTGGTTTTCGAAGTGGTGCTGCTTCTGCTGCTGGTACAGCAGAGGGCAGACTAAGCTGAGGAGGCTCAGTAGATGAAGCCTTCAGAAGGCCAGGAACCAGCTGTCGATCAACCTGGAAAGCTGGTTTGGGGTTCAGGGTTAGAGATGGTTGCAAAAAAAGAAGAGAAGACAAAGCCTTCAAAGATGGGAAGGTGGTCCATGGTGCTTTCTCTCTGTTGGGGACCAGCAGATGGTGGCAGGCTTAGCCACAGCTCATTCTGGAGGCACCCACTAGGGAAGCCTGGAAGCCCTCCAGAGGGTTCAGCGTAATGGTATTCCAGGATCCTGGGTGGGCCAGACTATCTTAGAAGGAGGCAGATTTCAAGGTGGCTGGTTTGCATGGCTCTGTTCCTTCTGATGGTGGTTGGACTCCAGCCTCCATCATCCTTGCCCACTGGGTTGCTAGCTGGGACTGAGGGTCCTTAGAATCTGGCCGCATGCAAAAAACCACTGGTTTCCTGTCCTCTTTTTATACTCAGCAGCTTAGCACTTATTGTGCATGAGCACCATGAATATCTTTCTCTGTGCGGTCTTACGCTTTCAAAAAATTGTGTCTTCAAAAAATTGTGTCTTCTGATGCGGGGAAAAATGTGTTAATTTTGTGTTCCCAAAGCTCCCCTCCCCCGTCCCTCCCCTCCCCTTTCATTTCAGTAGTTGAGAACCACACAACAAAGCTGAGAATTAGCCCCAGCCTCTGGCTGACCAGTTCTTGAACTGTTTGGAATAGAAAATCCTAGTAAAAATGAAAATCTCTCTCTCTCTCTCTCTCTCTGAGCCTCTTTGGAAGCCAAGAGGTGCCTCTTGGACACTTAGAGAGGAGCAAAGCTTGCAAAACGCAGCCTGGAACTTGTTTACACCTTTTGCGCTTTTTTTTTTTAAATGCCGTTTCTCCTCCCATCCCATTTGGACAATCTATGCAATCTATAGTTCTCGACTTAACGACCGTTCGCCAACAGTGCTAAAAAAAGTGGGACCGTTCTCCCACTTACGACCGTTTGCAGCATCCCCAGGGTCACGTGATCCAAATTCAATCGCTCGGCAACTGGCTCACATTTATGACGGTTGTACCGTCCCGGGGTCACGTGTTCCCCTTCTGGCGACTTGCTGACAAAGTCAAGAGGGGAGCCAGGTTCGCTTCACACCCGTGTGACTCACTTAAGCATTGCTGCAATTCGCTTAATGAGAGATGGCAAGAGAGGTCGTAACTCACTTAACAACTGTCTCGCTTAGCAACGGAAATGTGGGGGACTGCCGGCGCTAAGCTTCTAAGCTCGTACCCCAAGGGGTTTGGAGGCTAAGTGCTTCTAATGGTGAAGAGTCAGAAAGAGAAAAAGGAAATGGAAGGGAGTTGTCAGCACGGAAGCAACATCCGTCTTGGTGGATTTAAGACACTTTCCCTTCCTCTTCACCTGCCTTTTCAGCAAGCAGAACGTACTTTCAGCTTCGGAACCAGATGGATGTTTACTGAGTAGCAAATCCTGGCTGAGTTTACGGCCTTCGGGAGCTCAGCTCAGGAATAAAGACTATCTTTGCATGCAGAGCGAGATAAATTCCCTGCCCTGTCTCCTTCCAAAATTCGGAAGTGTATTTCCAGGAAGGGCAGCTTGTGTTGCAAACGTGAGCATGGAATTCTTGCCCACACAAACAAAAAAAGAGAGCAAAATCAAGAAGGACATTGTTCTTAGCAACTTTGGTAAAAGTGCTTTTGGCTTCAGCAGCTTCCTGCAGCTGGAAATTCCACCGTGAAAAGCATAGTTGTCTGTACAGGGATCATGATGGAGAGTGTGTGTTGTGATACTTGCGTGACCTTACCAGTCCCTGCAATGTGAGAATTTGGCTTATCAGTAGGCGGAAAAAGAAGAAGGGGAAGATTTCAGTTAAAATGTGGAGTCTCTGGTGCTCTCTGAGTTTTGGATGCTATCTTGCAGACGTCTCAATACCCAACTAGGTAACACGATCAGTGCTAGAAGGGAGTGGGGTTTGCTTATGTTAAAAGGTTTGTATTCATACATTCCCAGCTGAAGCACAAAAGAAGAGAGGCACCAAACTTAGGTGAAGAAATAAAAAAGGCAACCTGGAGAGATGCTGGAGTAGAAACAGAGAGAGCCAGATTTTGCCCCTCCCCATTCATGGAAAATTATTGGCTGAATTTAGGCTGGTCCCACCCACTCAATCCACGAGCCAATTGGGTGTCTGTCTGTCTGTCTCTCTCTCTCTCTCTCTCTCTCCATCCATCCATCCATCCATCCATCCATCCATCCATCCATCCATTTAAACTTTCAACTGCTGCAGAAAAAGGTGGGATGTCAATGGCATGCTGTACTCCAAATTAAAATAAAATAAATCCTAATCTGGTTTAACTTGATGAACCTGGTTCACATAACAGTTCCCACAAATTGCCCAGCCCATTTTCACGGAGACCAGTAAAACACGCTTCTCCCTGTTCCTTTCCCTCCCTCCCTCTCTCTCTCTCTCTCTCTCTCTCTCTCTCTCTCTCTCTCTCTCTCTCTCTCTCTCTCTCTCTCTCTCTCTCTCCCTCCCTCCCTCCTCTCTTTCCCTCTCCCTCCCTCCCTTTCTCCTGTCCCTCCTTCTCTCCCCCCTTTCTCTCTCCCTCTCTCTCCCTCCCTCACCCTCTCCCTCCCTCACTCTCTCCTTCTCTCTCCCTCTCTCTCTTTCTCTCCTCTCTTCTTCTCCCTCCCTCCCTCTCTTCCCCTCCCTCCCTCTATTTCCTCTCTCTCCTCTCTCCCTCTCCCCCCTTCTCTGTCTTCTCCTCTCTCTCTCTTCCGCCATCCCCTCGATGGGGAAGCAGAATCGTCTTGCAGTAGATACAACAGGCAGTTTATTCCAGGCTTTGTGTTTTCCCTGCCTTCCCTATTAATGCTCATCACCTCCAGGCAGGTAGATACAATTTTATGACACCGTCTGCTCCTCTGCTGTGGCTGCCCCTCCTGGTTATGGTGTTTGCTCTTCCTTAATGCACAAATAAAATAAAAGAGAGCAGTGCCATAAAAGCAAACGCGGGTCACTTACCGAGGGCGGGTAGGAGGAGGCTGGGCAAATTTGCCTTCAGCCACCGATCACGGATGTGTGTCCTGCAAGGTGTCCCACAACGGGGCCTTTTTCTCCTTGTCGTGGGCTTTAGGGAGGTTGCTTGGACGCCTTGCAATTACAAAAGTGACAGGGATGTTGGAAAAAGCCTCTGGGGGACTCTGGAGACAGCAGAGCAGTGCTGTTGCTTTCGCAAGGAGTCCTGGACATACGACCTCAACTGAGCCCGACATTTATGTTGCTAAGGAGGACAGTTGTTAAGTGAATTTTGCCCCATTTTACAACCTTTCTTGGCACAATTGTTAAGCGAATTGCGGCAGTTGTTAAGTCAGTCACACGGTTGTTAAGTGAATCTGGCTTCCCCCATTGACTTTGCATCACATGATCCCCAGGACGCTATATCCGTCATAAGTGTGAGTCAGTTGCCAAGCGCCTGAATTTTGAGCACGTGAGCAGGGGGAATGCTGCAACAGGGTGAAAAACAGTCATAAGTCACTTTTTCCCATGATGTTGTAACTTTGAACAGTCACTAAATGAACTGTTGTAAGTCGAGGATTTCCTGTATTTACCTATCAGGGAAATGGGTTCAGCAGAGCAAGGACAATAAAGAACCCAGCAGCAGTTCTTGCCTTCCAGGGCTAGTTAAAGC